TGTATTTATTTTATTATTTTTTTAATAAATTTATTGTAAATAACAAGAAATAATCATTGTAAAAAAATAGGCACTCTATTGTTGAATTTTCGTCAGACCAACTAATCATCGTTCATTTTTTTAGGTTCAATGGGGAGACCTAAAGATTTACGCATATGGGAGCACTACCGTACTTTACCAAACAAGTCTGTTTCTTGCAAGCTTTGTAATAAGGTCTACAAATTCAGTAATGCTGCCAAAATGCTTCAACATCTTATCACTTGTCCAAAATCTCCAGAAACATTAAAAGACTCTATGAAACTTATAAAAGATAGCTCGTCCAAAACCAAAATGTCTGGACTGTCAGAGATAGAGACAAATGATTCTTTTATAAGCCCCTCGTCGTCTGCTAACACTACAATAAATGCTGAGTTTCAAGACACCGATGATCATATAAAAACAGAATTAGCGAGAGCTATATTTGTAACAGGGACGCCATTATCGATGGTGCAACATCCTTTATGGATACAATTTTTCGAAAAATTGCAACCAAAATTTAAAATACCTTCACGTAAAGCTTTAGCGACAAAATACTTAGATAAAATATATAGAGAAATGCGTTTTGAGTTAAATGAGGAACTAAATGCTTGTAGTTACTTACACCTTCAGTGCGATGGCTGGTCTAATTTAAGAAATGAAGGAATAATAAACTTTCTTATATCAAAACCTCAACCTGCATACGTTAAAAGTTTGAATACAGAAAGTAATCCTCACACTAGTGAATACCTTAGCCAAGAAGTTGAAAAAGTAATGAAAGTGTATGGAGCAAATAAGTTTCTTGTACTTATTGGCGATAACGCTAGAAATATACAAAAGGCATTCGAATTAACAAAACTCAAATATCCACATGTTGTTCCTCTCGGTTGCTGTGCACATATCCTTAACTTGTTGTGCCAAGATATTGTAAAGATACAAGAAGTAACTGTGTTTATTATGCAAGCCATAAATATAATAAAAACTATTAAAAGGAGTCAACGATTAAGTTCCTTGTTGATAAAATCAAGGCAGGGTGAAGATTCTACACAAACACTAAAATTGCCTTGTGCTACAAGATGGGGAAGTCATGTTACTTCGTTAAAAAGTTTGAAAGCAAATAAGATAGCTTTGCAAATATTAACAGTTAGAGAAGATGTGGTAATTTCAAGAGATATTAAAGATTTAATTCTAAGTGATGATTTCTGGACGAAGACAGGGGAATGTATAAGTATTTTGGAACCAGTCACTGAAAGCATATTTTACTTAGAGAGCGACCAGAATCGTTTGCATCGCACATACATTACATTTAGAGATGTACAAGCTAAGATACGTTTTGCATTAAATGAGATTTCGACATTGAGCGAAGAAAGCAAACAGCAGATTCTAACATCAGTATCTTCAAGATGCAATATGGCAATGAGGCCAATACATTTTGCAGCATATATTCTAGACCCCAGGACTCTAGGAGTCGAACTTACTCAAGAGGAAGAACTTAAGGGTATGAAGTTTATCTACAATTTAAGCCAACACTTAAGTTTGTCAAATGTAATGGCAGATTTGGCGTGTTATAAAGCTAAAGAAAACTTTTGGGCCAGAGGATTTGTATGGAGCTCATTAGATAGCATTGAGCCCCTAATATGGTGGAAAGGTATTTGTGGTTCCACTGAGTTAAGCAAAGTAGCGATTCGTATTCTATCAGCTCCCTGTACTTCGGCAGCCACTGAGCGTTCCTTTAGTATCCAAGGCTACATACATAATAACAAAAGAAATCGACTTACAACTGAAAGAACTGAAAAAATTTCATTCATTTGTTATAACTGGAATCTTAAACATAAAGCTGAATGCGAGGACATTCAGTTTAATGAAGAAAATACCTTAGAAGCTTTCATTGAGCAAGTAAATGAACATAACAGTTTAGACGAAATAGAGCCTATCGAACCTATACAATTCATCGCTTGTAATAACTCTGAATCTGACAGTGATTGACTGTAGTTTTACATTTTACTTTCATCTCTTTCTTAATAAACTCAAAATCAAATTAAAAGTTTTTTATTCTGTAGGCTGCATAATAATATTGTCTATGTCCAGTATAGTGGACGTCTTGCGGCTGAGATGACGATGATGAAGTACAAAATCATAAACACCCAAAAATTTGGGTGTTTATGGGGTTTAAACCCAATAAACCCAAAACACCCGGTTTTTACCCACCAGACTTTAAACCCACCCAGGTGGATTGCCCATCTCTACCTACACTGCATCTTCAGATATAAACCTACATATATATATATATATATATATATATATATATATATATATATATATATATATATATATACCTATAGTAAAAAGCTTCATATGAATTTAAATAACTATGTTAAGGTATACATTTAATTCATTGAAAGAAATACGTGTAAATAAATAATAATAAGAAAAAAACACTGCTTTAGAGAAAAATATTCTTTTGTATTTTAGTTAGGCGTGTGGTCCCAACATAGAATGTACCATCTCTTTCCGTGAGTGTTATAAGAGGCAAGGGAACTTGATGGTCGAGAGATGGGCAGCAGCGTCCCTTTTAAAACGTCATCAAAAGTCTTACTGCGTTTGCCAACCCGTCTATCAAGCGTGGCAACTACTAGCAAAACCCCCCTTATGAGAGAGGCCTATATTCAGCAGTGGACTGTTAATGACTGATATGACGATGATAACGATGATTTAATTTCAGTAAGTAAATCAGTTAAGAATCAAGAAAATGTTCATATAAAAACACGAAAAAAAAACCAGTTCCTTCCTTTGTTAATGTCGCATTGTAATTTGAATATTACAGTGTAAAGTACTCTTTTCTTTCGATTCTTTTGTTGAAAGGAAATAACGTATACGTCTTCGGAACAACTTTCATCATTCACGGCGATGATTGCGAGACCTGACTCTTAAGAGCGTTCGGTTTCTTTTCAGTCGTAAAAAGTTTTGTATTTCGGTAGCAGAACTCGTTGTTTCCTCCGGGTAATTGGCGAGTCGGAGAGAGCTGAAGGGTTCCCAAAGTCGCTTGACACAGATCCCGCTGCAATTCAGCGCTGGAAATGTTTATTTCGGATAATACTCGTACTACTACCACTGTACCCAATTTAAAGTTGACGTGTGTATGGTTTTATTTTGATAATAAAACAAAAATAATAAACACATAACTGTAATATCGGGTGTAATAGTCATAAGTTGTTATTTCTCTAATGCGTGTAAACATTATTTTCCATCGTTGGAAGATGATTATACAATACACACCAATATATAGAAAAAAAAAAACAATTATTATTTATGACGTACTAATTATTTACTTTATCTACGGTATAAGTAAGTAAAATTGTGTTCCACAAAACCGACTTCAATTGAAGCAAAACCAGTTATTTTGATTAACGAAACTACTGAACTGATTTTGATAAAACTTCTATAGGACTAATCTGTAAGGATTTACACCTTACAGATTAGTTACTTTAGTTCCTTTCAAACAAGAAAAAAATAATTCTAAGACAGTTTAACAGTTTGACAGTTAACTAACGGTGTTATATTTGTTACAAACATAAAAAAAAAAAAACAAATTGAGAACTTCCTTCTTTTAAAGCCGATTTATAAATAACAAACACTAATACATACTGAGTATCCATCTACTATTTTCATTTACGTATCTATATGTCTTTACTATGACTATATAGTAATCATTAATAATAATATAATAATAATGTAATTTATGTCTCTATAAATTTATTGTCAATTTACAGACAAACCTCAATTTAATTCTATACAATAGTACATTGATAAAATGTCGAACCTAAATTTGATTTCATATTTAATATAATATTCATTAAACCGCTTTATACAAGTCTATTTGAAATAGTACTTTAATATTTTAATCACGTTTCCATTGATTAGCACATTAATGAAGTTCGTTAGGCAGAATTTGAGCTACAAAGCAGCTGAAAGGCTAATTAATACAATATATATTCTAATTATTATCATCGACTATTGGACTTCTATGAAAATAGACAACGTGGAAAACTTTTTTCTCTCCTTCTACAGATAGGTTCATTAAACAAAACAAATAAAAAAATATAATATTTTCAATATATCCTTTCTCTAATTAATCTAAAAATACACAACCTAAATTCCTGCATTTCGAATGCTAAAATTTTTAATAATAAAGCAGGAATGTCTTATGAGATTGAAAGAATTTACTGAGATTCCTATGGGAACTGGGACAACGGATTCCGTGCGAGCGAATATGGTAAACATCTAGTAGTATAATATACCAATTATCATAGACAAGTGCCAGAGAAACCCAATTAATATTTGTGAATTTATGCCTAAAGTGTAATTCAGAACAATCAGCCAGTGATGCACATTAATGAATTCATATTATTGGCATAGTTTAATATGCAGATTCTAAAAATCCTATAACTTTTAGACTTTGTTTATTGATAGAAGTGAAAAATGTGATTTTTAAATCACAATGACATCACGTATATGTTTGGGCTAGTTTAATGGTGATAATCCGATACCGGTTGCATCGCACGGCTTAAAGGTCATTTTACCACACAAAAGAGTGCTGTCGCATAGTACCTGAACGCAACTACGTCCAAATTTATAAAAAAAAAGTAATATTCCAGACAATTTATCATATTGAAGACTAGGCAGCATGGTCTCCGACCTTAGCCTGTTCCACAACGGAACAAACGTACTAAAAAAAAAGAAAAAAAGTAATATGGCGTTGGCGTGAAAAGTGATCATGAGTTGTTAGCAGCATACGCTCTGTTTTGTGTATTTGTTTTATAATAAAGGACGTCTAAGTGAAATTCATAGTTTGCTACGACATGGTTTTGTGTGCAACTTATTATATTTAATAATAAGACTAAGTTTCTATTAATGAAAAACTGATATGTGTGTCATGGACATGTGAAGTACCCGACATCACGCCACCCTATACAAATACAACATTTATGCGTGCTCCGGAGCCCGTGAGGATCCTTAGCTGCGCCGTGGAGAAAGACAGTAAACCCAGGAGGCAGGTGAACCAGCACATCACAGAGGTACGATTAATTTAAGTTGTTGCGAACTGCATACCGGTCTAGGAAAGTCATCGTTAACCGCCCTCTCTGCCGACCCTTGGACTTTTAGTTTTTCGCCCACACATGTAATAAGTTCCTCAAAAATCACTATAAATAACATAACACGAATTTTATCATATTCCTTGACTTATATCATAATATAGGATGGTTTTCTTCTGTTTAGAACCGTTTATTATTTTTATTTAACTGTCATTGACTAAATAATTGGTATTCTGAAATAACAAAATTTAGCTACCAATATCATTTGCTACTTCATTAAAAGGAGGAGACTGATACAACAACTCGGTATATAAGCGTTATTTTTTCTAAAATTCTTTGAAATACTTTTTTTTTTCATTGTAACACTGCTACCTAACAAATTTGTTAATATGCCTACATTTCAATTTGAAGTATGTAACACTAGAAAGACAGGATATAGATCTCAGAAGTTATAATACTTGTGGGTTATCATATGAATCATAATATAGTTTGTAATTTAATAATTATTTATGTCTATAGAAAACGATTAACGCTTTCCATCAGATGTGTAAAAAACAATCACCATTAGGTTGTATCGTGAGGTAAATCACGCACTTCTGAAAGTTAGTACATACTAATATATGTTTGTGAATAAATTATATTTTAACACATTAAAACTGAGGAAGGATCAAAGAAATGATTGCCGCTGTAATGCAATGTGTCCAAACACAACTGAAGTACACAACAGACTAGATTATCCATTTTAAGACCGACCACTTTGAACTCAAGGGACTAATACTGCTATGATATCTGCGCTGCCACTAGACGTACTTTGTTCTTATGAGAAAAACTACAAACACAAGTATTCTAATACAAAAAAGGTTCTAAGTAAATCTGGCGTCATTTTCGACTAGTGACATTTTATACGGGCACGGTATATGTCACTATATAGCTGAATAGTATCGCTATAAAATCGTGCTTTTTTTATACTACTATGATGACAAATAATCAAATGGCTCGTCTGATGGTAAACAGTGACCATAGTCTATATACTTCCTTATATAAAAGTACTCCATTCATGTACTTTATATATTATTATATATACCTTATTTTATTGATAATGAATATTATTTACTATTCTATTGTAACGGTATAATCGTACCGCCATGATATAACAGAAAAAAACCACTTTTAATAAATTTACAGAAATTTGCACACGAACATGCACGGTCACGACCGTGATATTCTTGGAGAAAATTGAAGGCATGTTCAGGCAATTGCTTAGCAGCGTTTTCAAAGGCGATTTTTTTTATCCAAATCCTCTCTCTTTTTTTATTAATATTATAAATGTAAACGCTTGTAATCATTAATGGATAAGTGTATAAATAAATGTTTGTTACTCTTTCACGCAAAAAACTATTACATCATTTTGAATAAAATTTGGTACACGGTATATCCTAACTCAGCGCATAGATACTTCATGTATTGATTTACTCGGGTGAAGCCATGAGATACAGCTAGTTTCAAATATGTTTTCACCAAATCAATACAATTTTCATCACTTTTACCCAATCACACACTCCTGTTGGTTTTCACTATATCATACCATGTAAATAACCACTATTCGTACGACGACGAAAATATTTCATATTTCTTCCTTTTTGTTGGTACAATATTCTGTAGAATTATAATAATTATATACTGTTATTATATAATTATTATTATAATAATTATATACTGTTATATAATTTACCCGAACTGTCAAAAAAATTACCCAAACTAATCCATATCTATTTTATTATTCTCGAAACATTTTTTCAATAATTTCATTCCTCTAAAATTTACGGGTAAATACTTTATCTACCAACACAGTTATTTAGAAACAATAATACGAATTTTTTTTTAAAACGGGAGCAAACGAACATGTGAATCCCCTGATGGTAAGTGACTATCGTTCCTTTGATCACCCGCAACACCAGAGGCATTGCAGGTATGCTGCCGGCCAAATAAAATTTTATAAATTATAAAAGGGCTTTATTACTAATTCTTACACGCATTAATATACAAAAAGGTACATAATATATTCCTTATATAGTGTACATTACGAATACTTGTAAAACATTAATATTAAGTTAAACATGACATTTGCTTGTGTAAATGTCACTACAATCTATTTCACTACCACATGTTTTACGTTACATATATATTGATAGAACAAGGAGGTATATTAACTCCAGTTAATAAAATATTATTCTCCTACATTGCTAGCTTTATACCCATTTCAAACATTATTAATGAATTTATTTCTTTTGTTTCAGTAACGACAAATATCACAAATGAGCTTCGTTGATTGTAAGTAAAAGTAACCATTCAAACTATTTCTTATTATTCAGCGATAATTAAAAAAAGTTTGTTTGAAAACACTTTAAAAATAAACTTTTATAATTTAAGCCGTCATCTTGAATCGGCGGCCATGTTGAATTTGATGAGTTTAGTCACTGTCGCTTTAACCTTTTTTTTTACTCTTCAAGCCCTTTTATTTGATGGTAAAAAAAGGAAATTCAAAAAATCCATGACCCGCCATCTTGTATCGGCGGCCATTTTGAAAATATTACAGTGTTGAATATTGCCTACTGTTTTGTCACTAACACGAAAAATATATGGTCAGTCGAATGTAAAGAGGTGGTTCTAATTCAGCTTGCAAGATTTGACCTAAACAAAAAAGGTACAATGTAAGTTAAATAAAAGCTTATAAGTGAGAAAGAGCAAGATGTAACTTTAAATTAAACATCTATTTGTCATAAAATGAGGTATCATTTCTTGGAATATTGTAAAACATAAATTACTCCTTTTCAGAGTCACGACAGTAAAATATTTCCGTGGAAATATTTAAATATTTAACGAAGATCAATGTTAATATTATCTTTGATTAATTTTTGTAATTATCTACTACTGTAATATACTCAAATATCACCCATTTTTTTAATGAGTGAAAATGAAATAATGATACCTTGTGCTTTATCGGTATGCACTGGCGGGGCACCAGAGTGGGATGACAGGTGGTGATGAAGCAGGTCGGTTAGCCCATCGTGGTTAATAATTGTAAATTCGCTTCCGATTCCAAGGGGAACCGCATGGAGTTCACCTTAATTTGCCGAATGAGGTATTGCTATCAATGGGGCATCTAGACCCCCTTACTGACAATCCATTTCTCTCCTAACTTCTTCCATATTCTACCTGACACAAAATATATATAAATATCCATATTAATATCTAATATCATTATACGGACCTGAATCAGTGTACTGAATCACGGAAAAAAACATTTGTTATTTCTTACCAAGCATGCCACCTACTGGCAAAACCCCCTAGGGAGAGACTTATGTTCAGCAGTGGACAATTAAAGCCTGATGATATGATGATAATGATTTCTTACCATAAAATATGAATAAATTTCGAGCCAAATATCTATTCTAAGAAAAATATCAAGATCATTAATCACACTTCACTAAACACAACAATTGTAGAACAAATTGACTTGAACCTAGATTTCGATAAAATTTTTTAGGCACAGTTATTCCATTTATTGATCAACGAAGAATAATGATACCGGTCTCGATGGAAGACAGTGCAAAATATAAAAGCCTAAAAAATATACTTCTCGTAGAAGGACATTGCTAAAAGATTACTTCATCAAAGAGAATTTTATTTGTATAACAAGACGAGAACAAGTCTCGACAAGTTGGATATTTTTCTTTATTTGCTTTAATGAAACTCTACGCTTTTTAAATGAGTTTTTGTACTAAAATGTATTTTGATGCTATGTTTCAAGGTTTAGAATTCCGTACGTAATTCGTAACATACATTATAAAGAGCGTCAACTTTATTATTTGACGCCCAACGAGGTGTAACGACGCAATGCGAATTTGTGAGCCATCGCGCGAAAACGCACGTATTCGCACGTCCAGATCTTGATGATAGAATAAATTGATCTGAGTCCATCCAATATCGTTGACGTTTGATACGTCAATTCGCTGGACTCCGATCGCTCGACCACGCGTGAATATTTTTATGTCTTACTGGTCACCCGCTTCATACGGATGAACAATTTTTTTTACTTTTCGATAAAGTTTTTCAAGTATTTTCTTTTCTACAGACGTTATCCGGACAATACAACAAAATGCTAAATTAGTGCAGCCGTTCTGAGACAATTCGCTTACATACATTTAATAACTGATTTTTATTTACGAGTATATAAATAAACAATATTTGCTTATATAAATATGGACAATATTTAATAGAAATATACTCAATATATTAAGAAAACAAACAATAAGTATGCATAGCGACGCGTAAGCGACGCAACTCAATGCCAATATTACTCGTATATTTGAATGGTTTTGTCTACACATTTACTTGTTTCATCGTCCTGCTGATCTTTTCCCTTTAATTATGGTCATCATCTCAATAATCTCTCATACCTCTAACATTCATTTTCACACAACTTATCGATCTTTTTTTACGCTTACTCTTTCCTTCTATTTATCCAAAGTTTAGATATATAGATACATGGATAGTATATTTATACTACTTACATCACAAAAATAACGATAATATGTCAATGCGTTTTTTTTATTAATGGCTGATTTAATAAGGATAGTTCTTATACACATATGTTTGAAATCAGAACAAATTTAGTAACTTAAATCAATCAACTAAAGATATTATAATCCTGGATTAAGTTTTAACAGAAGACGTATTGACATTCCTAACTGCACACCTGCAATGCCGCTGGTGTTGTGGGTGATCATGGGCGGCGGTAGTCACTTACCATCAGGTGAGCCGCATGCTCGTTTGCCCCTTGTGTTGTAAAAAAAAAACATTCCTAACTAATTTCTAATAACAAATAATAAAGTGATTTCATTTTTATTAATAAAAATGTTTTATTAATAAAATGTACAATAGACTAGCGTTTGATCCGGTCGAATATTTTCATTATTAAGGTGCCGGATAAAATATCATAATTACTTCATCCATTAAGATTGAATAGAATACATATTAACATTTTTAATTAATATATAATAATAAATTATAAAGTGATACTTAAATATTTGTTTTTACTATTAATAATAAAAATGTAAAAAAAATTGGCGTTTGATCCCGTGGAATATTTTTATTTTTAAGGTGCCCGATAAAATAATCACTTCATCCGTTTTAATTTAGATATACAGCTATATGTATTATATTTTTAACGTATAACGTTTTGAAGAGGGTCGTTAAGGCAATAAATTTTATTGTAACGAGGGTTTTATTATGTCCGACCGGTACGCACTCTGTACCAGATGGCAATTAACTTACCAACCACCTTAGACTGCTTTTTTAATCAACAAAAACCCAATTAAAACAGGCTTCAGCTTTTGTCTATAGACATACATATAATATTGTCTTAACATTATTCAATAATTTACCTACACCAGTACCAGTAAAACGAAGAAACTAAGAACCTTTTATTAAGATGCTTTTCATATTTGGTTGCGCATAGCAACAGTTTTTGGAGTTTTGATTCTAAATAAATAAGTATTTTTTTCAATGGAATAGTAACCCTATTTGCGCTAATGGTATACGCTGGTGGGACACCAGTGAAGGATGATAGGTAAGATGAAAAGGCAGGTCACTTAGCCCACCGTAAAGAATACGCCAAGAATTCAGCACGATGATTTTCAGGGGAAACCACGTGGAGGTCGTCCTGACAGGGTAAATTGCTAGCAATGAGACTAGTTGTTCGCATTATTAGCAATCCTCTCTCCCCGATAAATAAGAGTTTGGAATATCTTTTTATTTCCTGAATGTGTAGATAGATTTCTTATCTTAAAGACGGTATTTATCCTTGCGCAACTCAAAGCGTGAAACCTAAACTTAAAACTCATTATTCTATAATAGTCCTCTTAAAGATGAAATAAAGTAATTTAAAAAACATAGACATGATTTTGTAGACTTCGGGAAACCGTTATGTGTTTTCATCAACACATTACAGGTCCTAAGGCCGTCACAATGAATTCTATGATGCCATGATGCTGTTCATGACACTTTCCATCAACAGGCTAACAGATAGTGGAAAGTGAAAATTTGTAAATATTTTCAGATATTTGCATATATTTTAATCACAAATTAATGGATTAATTTGAATGAAATACGTATAAAGATGGGCATATCCTGAATTAAAATATAGAATACTCTTTATATTAATGCATGTAAACAAAACTACAAGACACAGTTAGTTTATAACATTAGTAGGAAGCGGGACATTTATATATTTCTTCGTGTTCTTATCTCCTTTGTAAGCAAAATAATATCTTGGCAACATAATCTAATATCCTGAATATATCCGTAGAACTCAAGTTAGAGATACTATTTACAATTCTCTATGGCCTGAGATTTATTGTTTCACATTTTTCTTGTGCTTATCTTTTTTACTGTTGAAGGATAAAAATATACATTATCTGTGCGTACTCTCGTACTTTATGGTGTCATATTTCACTCTACATAATGATGTAGGCCTGTATTTTGAAATTAGAATAAATGTCGATTATGTACGATAATGTTTATAATATAAACATACCAGGTGAATGTTAGTTACAATTAAATAAAAGTTGATCTGATGGAAATAAGGTAGGCTAAGTATTATTATCTAAACTGAACCTCCACTAATACAACCTGCTCCTTACACTGTTACGGTATAAATTTAATTCCTTACACTAACAGTATAAGGAATTAAATTTATACCGTATTAGAGGCTCTTATTTTAATAATTTTTTTATTATTTATTATTATTATTAAAATTTTTTAGAAATATTTTTTGAGAAAAAATTTTAGTGCCAGATTTTTGTTATATAATGATCCATTGCTAATATCTTAATAACATTTATACTATGTATTCCTACATCAGAAGTTAGAACTATTCGTTAATTTTCCAAAACAATATTAATATGTATTTCAATATTACCAAATGATTATTCCGATTGTTTTTTTTTTTTTACAACACTGGGGGCAAACGAGCGTGCAGCTCACCTGATGTTAAGTGACTACCGCCGCCCATGACCATCCACAGCACCAAAAGCATTGCAGGTGTTCTGCCGGCCTTTTAAAAAGGAATATGCTATTTTCATGAATGTTTAAAAATGCTCTAATGGAAAACTAAAGCTTAACCATATAACATTACACGTAATCTAATACTAAAAATTTTGTGTCCATAATTTACTTTCGAAGTTTCGAAATATTTTTGACTATTAAAATCCATTTTTAGTGATAACTTAATTTTCAAAATTAACAAAGTTGACGCTGCCCTCATTTCGGTATAAACACTCTTAAAACAAGAATAAACACATCCCAAGTTCTAAATATAAAATTCCAATTAAAACTATAACAAGTTAATTTAAATACTAAAGGCAATAATCCCTATTGTTGAAAGGTAGAATTCGGTACAGAATTACAACGTCAATCCCTGTAAAGTTCCGTTATCTCATCTATGTATACGACGACCTAAACCGATCACGATTACCATGAAAAGTTGAGAATAAAAGCGAGCTAACCCTCTAGGGTTGTTAGCTACGTACTCGGATAACATAAAGATATGCATTTACATTTTTAGGATTCCATCGCGCCTTCATTTTGTACGAAATTCAAAATAGTGGAGATTCGCAATTGAGTTTCTTCTTGCTGTAATCATTTAATGTAATGAAATATTCAAATTTGAAGCCCCCTAATACGAAATGAATTAATACGACGAGATTCATATATTTTAACTGATTGACAATTTTACTGAACTAGATGTCATTTTGCGGAAGTCCATATCATCGGTTAGTTAATTAGAATTATTTTGTTTAATTCCGCTACCATTAGTATATGTGCGATTGCCACCCTCCTTTTTGGAGAAGACCTATGTTCAACAGTGGGCAATTAACAACTAATATGATAATGATAATGATGTTTTAAAAAATTAAAAACTTAAAAAAAAAACTAAATTTGTGAAATCAAATTTTAAAACTAGTCTTTTAGTCGCCTATTTTTTTTTTATCTATATAATTAAACAGACTACTACTCGCAGGGAGAGTGTCACGTTCTGGTATCTCGAGTTTCTAATATCTTCATACACGAAGACCTCTAACGTAACTAAAACTAATTAAACAAACTAAAAGAAGAAAGTTCCTCTTAATATAACCGAAATAATAGTTACTATACTCTTATATCGTCCGTATGTCATATAGGAAGGTGAAGTTAAACATAAAACATTTTACGAGTACAAATTAAATTTGTCTCTTAATATACTCTTAACTTTCAAATGAAATGGATCCTTATACTGAATTCATTTACTGTCAAGGGAATTAAAGTTTATTGTCGTATTTTCTTGATGAAAAAAATATTATAACAATATATACTTTAGATATTTTTTATAGCCTTGGACGTATAATTGTGCCCTCTGGTCCCAAACTAAGCTGAGTTTGTAGGGCTATTACAATTTATAAAAATATTTAAATATGTTTTTCTGTAAATAATTTTATTGTTCGATTAAAAACTAGTTATTTCTTAGACACATTAGATTTAGTTTTACAAACAAACGGCTTCGCTTCACTTTTCACAATATTAATAAGAAAGCAAATCCTGGCGATTGCAAAATGAATTACCAAAACCAATTCAGAATTATACAAGATAGCCAAAAATCCGGTGTATATTTAATCTTGATTTAATACAAATAAATTCTTTCATTGATTTTTCTACTCCTGAAATCCACAGGTTACACGCACGTGGAGAAGTTGCGAGTAAAAGGTAATCTTCTTTAAAACAGTCACCTACACCACGTGTATGCGATGTAGCGCGCTACTGTTTAAGTTTTACAAGTTAATTCAGACTTGAGCTCACAAAGGCATTGTTACTACGTGCTCGGTGAAATATCTACGTGTCTGTATTAACTGTAATTTGAAATATTACTATAAGTTTGTAGTTAAAATAAAATATTACTTCGAACTGCGATTTATCATATTTTATTTCAATGTACTAAGTACCAGTTTAACTTATGTGTATATTAGTCGTGAAAGCTCAACTAGTTCCGGTACTATTCAGGACCCTTAGTCATGAGCAGCTGTGACACGAGCGCCAGCCTAAAATATATTGCGTACTTACGAAACTTTTAACATTAAAATTTGTTTTACACATAACCGTAAACTATTTAATAAAAACAGATATTTGTTGTTCTTTGTGATATTTTATATATGAAATATTATGACCTTCTATAGACTACTAATCGATTGCGGCTCGAATGAGCTTGTTTGTTACTACAAAGATAAAATCAAACTTACAATAAATACATAAAGAAGCCTTTATAAATATGATATATTTTAGAAATGGGATTCATTAAAGAATTATAAAATAATGCGAAGAGTCTCGAAATTTCAAACTTTGATATAGTTAATCGATTTTTTGGCTTTAAAATAGTTTTATTTTTTAATAACGCAGTATAGTTTTTTCCATCTACCCTTTATCGAACTTGGCGTTAATTTTCCTATTTTAATATAATCGGTATAATAATACATGTATGTGCAATTTAGATAATATCCAATGACACAATTCTTTGGCTTCACACTATTATGGTTGGAAGTTTCCACTGTGCTACGTATATACCCAATTTACATTGTAGTGCCATAGTACATCAGTGCGGCTTCACTATATTTTTCAACTCCTGGTCATCAAATGTTCATTTCACAGGTTATTGCGGAGCATCCGTCCGTTCTTCTAGCGCCTCTGGTGACAGTGACGTATGGTCTAATTTATAGACCTACAACTTTATAAACGCCTCTAAAAACTACCTTATTCAGCGGAAATAAAGTTGGTTTGTTGTTAGGAACATAGCGTGTGTTAAATTGTTTAAGTTTGTGCGGCGACCTCAACGGCCCATTGTCCCTTTAGAAAGAAAACTGTGACAAGCTCTCTGAGTAAAATAAGTTTTTCACGCCGTGATTTATATTAAGCGATGTTAGTAAATTTCTTTTTATAGACTTTTTATTGGTCATATTTTCTATAATAAGTTTATTTTAAGGATTACAGCTTCATCTCTGTATATATTTTTTTTTTTCAAAAATCCAAATCTGAATAAGGCGTTCTTTGTTTAGTCATACTGTAATCGGTATGCGATAACTAACCATTTTTGTAGCTTCCCTATAGTTCATGAAGATAAAACATACACCAGATTTTTAATTAGATACTCAAGAATAAAACTCTTAAAAACGAAAATCCAATTTGGTGTAGTAGTTTTTGTGTAATATCGAAAAAAAACATACAGATAGATCGACAGATGAACAAAAATTCTAAAATTATTATTTTGTTTTTTATTGCTTTTAGAAGGATCTTACCCTTCTAATCGATTTTTTTTTATATTTCCTCTATGTACAGACATCGTCTCGTTATAAATTATTCGTAAGATGGCAGCAATATTAAGTGTTATATTTATGCTATGACATGTTCTTCGTCTCTTATATATTTCATCGTCAGAAACGTGATTAATAGAAACATGGAGTCTTTAAGTCAAATATTCAGAAAAACTAAAATGTATATTAGACGTATATTTGTTATCGAGTTTTTAATATTGATAAAGACTGGGTCCCCAAATTTCAGTAAATTTCGAATATTATATTTATGTTATTTCAAATGACTTACTACAATTATTAAACATGGTTTCAAACATTAAATATCACATTATTAAACGTTTTATTTTATCAAATATAAATATACAATATAAAAAAATTAGAAGCACATCGTGTGTTTTTTATGTCTTTCATCTCTCTAATAATTTTTAAAAGGTCGCTGGAAGAAATCCTTTTCAAGAACACACCCCCCGTCATTCTATTGTCTGTCCTTTTTTATTATGCCTAGTATTGTTACGGAAAATTGTTATTTTTCGAAATAAATTTGAATAAATTACAAACGTAAAGTTCTAAATTAGACACATCCTATTATTCAATTCATAGACTTCATAAACTGCTGTAGAATATGGTTCTATGGCTTAATAAACTTACGAAGTCATTAAAAAAATTTACTAGCTACGCTTATACAAGCCATAATATATAATTCATCATTTTAAAATTAATTCTTATTTAACAGAATTTAATTTGTTGTATTTTACAAAACCCACACTATTTGTAAATTGAAGACAATAAATGGAGAATATATATATTGTTTTAAAAGGTACATCAACATTGTAAATACAAACATTAATTTTAATTAATATACAGGGCTTTCATCTTGCATTTACACCAATTACAGATGTACACAACATTTTCTTAAGTCATCGATTACATAAACTGACACCAACAAAACAATAAAAAAAACATATGAGTAACAAACATAAGAATTCTTAAAATATACAATTATTAAAATTATAAGAACAGTGCACACAGAATTAAAATTATTGGTTGTGGAAAAATTATGGTAGTATTACGGGAGAACTTTTAGAATTTTACTCTATATATATATATATATATATATACTAATATACCTTTATAACTATTCAATATTTGCATAATTTTATTGTGTATATTTATATACTTTTCTATAATTGTTAATTGTATACATATTTTTTTTAGTAATAGTAATATTTTAAATTTATTTAAATTTACCAGTCTTCATTATCGAATTATAAATCACGTCGGTTAGTAAATATCCAAAAAAAGTAACATATCATAGCTAAATTTAAGAAACATGTGAATTAAATTAAGAAATACGTTCCTAAATACTTTGCCTTTCATCAAATTACTACGCTTATCCCTCCTGACGTCGTTTTTCATAATACCGGAATTTGCTGCATCACCCCTCATTAATTTCCGCAATCATGGCCGAATTTTATCAGCAATTAATTTGGTATATAAGGAGGGTTCGTTATAAGGAAACATGTTACAGATATTGCATGTTCGTTGAAGATATAATGAAATGTAATTTAATATATTGTGGTAACAAAATTGAGTAGGTATATTATATAATATGTGTAGTATTATATATATACCTACTCCTACAACTACTACTACCTAATAAACTACTAATAAGTAATAACAACCTTGCCGTGTGGTCCCGACATAGAATGCGCCATCCCTCCTTTCCCGTGGATGTCGTAAGAGGCGACTAAGGGAACTTAATAGTTGAGAAATGAGCAGCAGAGTCTCCACCTGCTAAACTTAGCAACTACTGGCAAAACTCCCTTTATGAGGAAAACCTACTTTCAGCAGTGGACAATTAACGGCTGGTACAATTTTTTTTTTAATTCCGTTACCATGAACACGTGTGTGACTGTCAACACACAAAGATTGATTACCACTATTACTAACAGAAGTTCCACGCCTTTCCATATTAACAATCAATCTCTCTGACTCTGATGATGATCTCACACTACCATTTTATTCACGCATGTTTTGCGACACGTGTGTCTCTTCTAAACAACGTATCTTCGAGTAAATTATTAGATCGCTGGTCAGAACCCAGTGTTAACCGTTCAGCTCTCAAACAGCGAATCCGAATGATTATAATAAAATTAATGAAAACAGATAGTTTTGAGTAAAAAACAATATATAGACAATGTATTAGTAACCATTTCACCACTACCGTACTTAATTCGAACACAGCACGTTTTCATCTGATCAGATATAAATTTAAAGGCAATATCTAATAATTATTACAATTTGATACCTTCAGAAATATGAAATTCATTTTTAAAGAAATCTATGCCAATTTTCTTGAATTATTGCTAATTTAATACTAGATATTTTTGGTACATATTGATTGCATAATTCACAACAATGTAAAAGAACAAAACTGTGTCGATCTATATACAAAACTGGAACGTGAACATTTTAAATGAGACATTTATTGAGGCCAGACAGCGGATTTCTAATGGAAACAATATATTATTTTAGGTTTAGAGCTTCCAGCAATTACTGGATGAAATTAAATTAACCTCATTTGTTGTAGGTATCAATCAATATTTTAAATACATACATATTATATATAGAAAACACCCAGACCAATAAAGACATATTAATGAATACTCATGTTTGTTTTTACGGTAATTGAACACGCAACCGCTGACAAGTAAAGTGGTATATTAAACCGTTGCACCATAGAGGTTAAGATTTATACATAATAATAACATCGAATGAGACTAATTTCCTAAAACGAGACGTGATCAAATACATACAATGAGCGGTCGACCGCTGAGGATACAAAACCTCAAATTCCAACTGTTGACGAAGGACCTTTTCTATGTGATGTCACCTTCATAAATTGTATTATGAAGGAAAACATGACGCGAATTCAAATATGGAACAATGAAATTTATTTTGCTTAATAACAAAATTACACTCCAATTAAATTAATATCGTTATAAGGTAAAAATAGAATAAATTGTTGCAAGCCTGAAACTTGGCATGGTTGTTTATCGAGTTAAAATTACTTTGTAAAAAAATATCCTCTAAATGAAGGGTAAAAGGATCGGATTCAGGAGTTTAAAAATAAAAATACAAATAAATCCGTTTTTGATAAATTATTTTAAATATATGCAATAAACTAAAAGTCATTAAAAGGAGAAATGGTAGGTGAAGTTATTTTGCACATTTTGATATATTTTTAATATCCTAGCTAAGAAACTGACCAAGTTATCAAAGTTAAACATATATATACGCTTACGATGCAGCCCTGTATTTCCTTGTTATGTTTTGACCTAGTCTTTGCAATATCTATAACTTCATGCATTGAAATAATACTTTTCTTAAAGTGATAATCGAAAAACTAATAAAGAAATGTTCTTATGCAAAACTTTATTCCAGATTATACACGCTGTGTGCTAAAATAAGGGGTGCTTCATATCACTTCCTCAAAATATCCAAATTAGTATGGCAACAACTTTTACAGCATAACTGATTTTAATGGATTATAGGTCGTTTAAAAGTCAATAATATCTTCTTTGATATATACTAAATATAAAAACTAAAAATCGTTATAAAAAAATTAGGAATACGTGCAAAATATTACTATAATATAAGACGTAAATAATAAATAAAAATAAACAATAAAAATATAATAAACAATAATATTCATCATATAAGACGTAAATAATAAATAAAAATAAACAATAAAAAAGTTATTGTATACGTGTTAACAGTTTAACCTTTAGGTAGAGAAATTTGATACAATTATAATAAGCTCAATAAGTTTGCGTTTTTAATCAATTGCAACTTTTGAAACTAAGATCAAAATTATAAAAACATTTACACAAAGCGAAAAAATTATATCAACATTTTAAGCCACGCCTGTTATGGACATTTTTAAATTAAGAATGCATAATTACGCTCATATCAAGCATATTTTTTAAAATAGCAGACGCTCCATGAAAATTATTGAAAAACGTTATATATTTTGACTTTTTTTGAAGTTTTTATATAGGCTATGTCAATATCTTTTAACAAAATAAAAAAAGTCTGTACTCTTTTACTTTATTTATTTATTTATACTTTGCATAGTATAATTCTATGAACATTTGGCGAATTTAACACCGGACGGTGTTCTCTACCAATGAACCACTGGGTAAATGAAAAGAAGAAAAATAAAGCAATACTTGATATATCCATATAATATAAACATATGATTAGACTAATATAAACATACACATAATATATTAAATAAAAGAATATATACATATAATAATAAAGATTGCTCTCAGCAATAAGACCGCATTACTGTACTTATACAATTGTATCGTTGTGTTTGTAAATTGCCTTGCTTATTTCCTATATTGTATAATGCAAATAAAGTATACTCATTCATTCATTCAAATACATACATAAAATATTACTATATCACATATCAAAGGTCATTGCAGAGTAATAGGCAATGACCCTTATTAATTAGTATTGTAAATGTGAAAGTAAGTTTGCTTGTTAACTCTTGGAACTTTAATAACTCAACCAATTATCACAAAATTCACAGCGACATAGTATATGAGATGAAGAAGAAAATAGACTATTTTTTAACCGATCAATCAATATATTAAGACGGACAAAGCCACAGGTAATACTAGTATTATTATACAATAAATATGATGAGACGTGCAAAATATGACAATGTTCATATCGCTACTATCACTGTGGCAAAACAATTGCTTTGAAACACGTAGGTACATATATCACGTGACAGATTTTTCGTACACACAAGCGGCAAATTTACATGAGGCACGCCGCGGAATCCAATTCTAATGCAAATCCAGCGCAAACAGCGAGTGCCACGTCTTTATTCATGAGTAGTATTGCCATGTCATTTCAAATAACGGGATAGTGGTAATAGTATTAAAAAAATAAACCGTCTTACCACAAAAAAAAGTAAGCTCGCAATTGACAAGTATTCGATACATATTTAGACATCTTACTACAAAAACCTGTCTAATATATCTAAATAAAAGAATATTATTTATGTATATTTTATTACATTAGATTTTAGCAGATAAAATTACAAAATAAAATATAAATTTGTAATTTTATATTATTATTGTTACGATATAATAAATAATATAATTTAACCACTAAAATTTTGTTTTGTTAAATCTTGTTTAGATACAGAGTATTTTAAATCTTTTTGTAGTAAAACTGAATGACACCAATATTTGTACGTTTATTTTTTATTGTTATTATCTATAATATTTAATATACTAAGTATACGAATACCTGCACAACGGGAGTTTTACAAACTCACTGTGTTTGTCAGTTCCGATAATTGTTTCGACTTCATCCGAAAGTCGAACATGTCCAAGCATATAGACATCGTTAAAAAATAAACATAAGTTTTAAAAATAAAAACCAATGTTACTAAATCTTTCAATAAATTAATTTTCTTCATTTTAATTATTCATATTCTATTAAGATATAAATAAAAATTATACTAATAAATTCTGTTTACATTCATTTGCTTATGCTTCTGAATTATTAATAATCTTACAACCATCAATTTACATAGTGCCTAAATTTTAAGTAAGTCTAGAACCTAACTGAATATTAATTAACCAAGGTTCCAATAATCTAGACGATAATCTTACTTTAGAACGAATATTCCATAATTGATTATAATTTAATTTACTCTAATTACAAATGTAGTAAGGAGTAATTATGCTCGTTAATAAAACAAATTAATTAAAAAATAGATTTTAATCATCAATTATTTTAATTATCAATTTCATCTTACATTGTAATTATCCATTATATTTGTAACTAAGTATTCATTGTAAGAATATCCATGTATTTATTTTTATTTTGGTTATTAAGTGATCTCAAATTATTCAAACCTATAGAATTAAGACTTATACTCGTAATTTAGCATATTCGCCATTTTATAAAGTTCACGACTATTTATTCATAGTAACAGAAGTGACAGGTAAAGTCAAAGACTTTTTACGCGATGTTACAACAGAATTGTATCTGTCGTGGTTATCAGAAGACCCCAATACTGAAGCACTGGCTGTTGATGCAACTATTAACAAAAAAACCAGTAAGTCGCAGAGAGTTAAGAAGATTAGTTGAATACGTAGGATTTAAGAGCTCCATTGCTAACAATGTACCCTATCAGGTCGTCGTGTATTTGTTACAATGGGCTCATTGACCAACTTTCATCCTCACCCATCATCTCTCACTGGTGCCTCGCCGACTAATAGTGATACCGCAAGCGAGGTAACCATTACATCATAACTTATCAAAAAAAGTAAACATTATTTTTGGGTTGCTATGAAATATTTTAGGAGGTTTTTCTTATTAAAAATTATGTTTATCAACGTATTAATACAGTAAAATTTTTTTTTATTTATTACACTGTTTTACATGAAAATATATAAACATTTATGTAGGTATATACATATAGATGTTTTATACCCTTCCAAAGAACTGTTTAACGTGCCTAAAGAAGTTTTCCTGTTAAAAATTATTTTTCGTTAAATTAATCTTACCACACCGGACTTCCAACAAGAAACATACCACCTGGATACACTGTTCGCGACTGACTACATTCAAATTAAACACGTTAAATTCACATCAGAAAGTTTACGTCTCAATCTTTCGTTGATTTGAACTGAGACCTTGGAGTGAAACTTCAGATATAGTATTGTCGACAACTTTTGTTATGATAATTTGTTGTATGCCTATGATTAATTCGGACTTTGTTGTATTCCATTTCTTCATAATTTAAAATGTAACATCGTCGTTTACTATAACTTTATAAGTACAATAACAAATATCAAATATAATATAATAAAGTGTGTAAAATAGGTAAATAAAAATACAAAATGGGTAGAAATCGCCTACAATTTTGCGTTACTTCATTTTACATTTTCACTGAACCAATAATATTAAAGGCCATTTTCCATTATAATTTCATGAATAATATGATGAATAACAAACAATTCCTGTAATTACTAGTGGGCACTTTTACTGTATTTTACTCGTGTTGTGGTTTTACTATGGTTTGCTTATTAACTTTTCATAATATGATACTTGTTATACTCAATTATTAAACCGACTGTCATTAACTAACACGTTTTGCAAGAAACTAATTTCACTGACCACTAACAAGACTAACAAATTGTTTATTTGTTCACAGATTCCCGGCTTCCGCCTTTCTAACGCTTGCTGGGCACTTTATTGAAAAAGTTGACAAGAAGTAAGAACATAACTGCTTTTAAAATCGTTTCCTGTGGTCGCCTCGTTTTAAGTTTTCATAAAAGTCGAACCTTCATCGGATACTTTAAATTAAAAAAGTGAAAAGTGTAAAATAATTCAGTAAACGCTTAATATTCTGACCGCTGCTTATAAACCGTATCGAATGCCGTTTGAATTATTAAACAAGCCAAATATACATTTCAACAACCCCCCGTCACAAACCTGGATTGCTTGAATTGCATTAGTGTTCGTAATTTCCAATTATATCAAAGATAGACGTCGAGCTTTCGTGGAATAATTTACTAATTACGTAGCGAAGCTCTCTCACGATGAGAAAATAGACAAAGATAAATAATAATCGCGGTGCATCAAGACTCTGATGTGTGAACAATGCATGTGTGTGAACGTGTGTGTGATAAAGGTGCGGTTTCATTAACGGAAAGCGAGCGTTTCGAGTAAAGCTGGGTGCGCAACGCCACGGCGTCGTCGGTGGAGGGTCGCGGGGGTGCGGGTGGGGCGGCAGAGCCCGCGCCCTCGCCCGCGCCCGACGCGGAGGCGCCCGTGCGCCGCCGCCGCCACCGTCCGCTCTATCGCCGACTCTTCCACTATGTGCGCACCGCGTGGACCGGCGTCAAGTTTGCTCTAGGTAATACTTTGAACACACCATCATATTTTACTGCATGTATTATATACATTTGTATGCTCATTGTAGTATCATTAACTTTTATTAACATTTATTAAATTGTAATATTTTTACAACGTGGATTCCTAAAATCCACTTTACAATCTCATAAAACAAATTTACCAACTCCAAATAAGTTAGCATAATAATTAGCCTATAATGGGTTACTTAGCTACTTTATCGGCTTTGGTAAGAACTTTGCTTATAATTCAACGATTTAATGGAGACAGTTAATGTCAAAGAATTGATTTTACATAAATATTTTAAAATAAATTATTTATTTGCATATTTAATCAATAAGTTCTTATTGATATTGTGCTAGTACGTTATAGTAGTAAAAGTTGTGCGCTGTTAGATGAGAAGAGCAGCAGCAATAAATAAATATAATACATATCTAAATAATAATGTAAAATAACAAAAAAAAAATATGAAAAAAAACATATCCAAAGTAGAAAAATATAAAATAAAAAACTATTATAACTTTTAACGTTAACTATTATGGTACATTAATCCATAGAAAATGAGGAAAATGTAAAAAAAAATTGCCTATACATTATATTACTTAAAAAACGCAATTTTTATTTTTTTACTAATTATAATATAAAGTAAATTAAAATATATTCATAAAATGGTGGCCAACGAAGAACGAGAATCTATAAAGTTATTTTTTGTCATTACATCGACGTGATAGGCGATAAAGTCATATATTATTATTATAAGAAGAGCCCTTGGTATCAGAACACGTAACTCTCACACAATTAGTAGGGAAATATTAGAATATTAAATTATTAAAAAAAAATAAGTATGGAAAATGTTTATCGTACCTAATTACATTTTCGTAAATTATCTATAAGAAAGATTCATATGGAGGAAAAATGGAGTCAATAATACACACACTTGATATGCAATAGCTATCCATTGGTAAGTTTGCAAATAATTCTCATATAGTCTATCCTGAGTAAAGAAACTACAATTATCTCAATCTATAAAACACTAGCTAATAGTTAAAATGTAAAATATATAAATCAGCTTTGCCAGGTTTGATATTTTTTCACAGTTTTGAGAAAAAATAACCAAGATAAAAAAAAATTTATGATTGCGAAATTGTTGAGAAAAGTAAAATAGGCTTGGAGAAATTCGGATAATTTTAGTGATAGTAAAATGTATGAATACAATAAAATGTGTGAACAATAAAGATAGCAAAACAGATAATGGGATAAAATAAGGAGAGGGTACGGTAAAAGATGGGGCTTTTATTTTCGTTGTTCGCTTTGTGGTAAAACGAACTGAAAAAGTTTGTGATTGTGTCTTTTTTCGTCTTTCGTTTTGAGATTAATGACAAAACGCAGTGGAAATAGAATTTAGGTAAACGTAAAGGAAACCCTATCGATTTGGACATAAAACATTTTGACATTTGGGTAAAAATAAAAAATCGTATCTGGCAACTCTATACTAATAGACGTCTTTTCTTCGCCTGTCAGGAAATGCAGAAGACCGGATGGTTAAAAATGTGACAAAAAATCTAATCTTATCTAGCTTAATAAATAAAAAGAAAAGAAGAAAACAAATAAAATGTCTTGAGAACTTTTATAGCATTATATTTTTTATGATGCTTAGAATGGCAAACAAACTAATAACCTACCTTATGAAAAGTGGTAACTATCGACTATAGACAAGAATAGCACCATAGACATCACAGAATACACTTGACTGATTAGTATTATGTTATCTCTGCTGATATATAGAAACAGCGTAAGGCGTGGGCGACTTGGGCCACCGCCCACGGCTTCCAATCAAAAGAGCTTCGCGCATCGCAGTTTTTTTATAATATTACACTTCCATTTTTTTAAACCGATTTTTTGCGTCACCAAAGGGACTCATACAAAATGTATGTTACCCACATCCAATTTAGGTATTTCTCCACCACAGCCACAGTTATATAAAAGACTTAACATGTCCCGATATTACCAACGTGCAATCGTACGCGAGATGATGCTTGAAGATAACTTCGATTGTCTCTCAAACTTTGCTATTAACATTATTATTTGCCAACAACACAATGGTATTGTAGTAAAGTAATAACCTTTTTATCAATATTACAATATAATGATATTGCCGTATAAATATTAATTATTACACTAGCAATTATAGATAAACACTACATGGACAAAAAATATACAAAAACATCAATAACAATACTTAAAGATACAATAAATCATAAACACACTCGATTTCTGTTATTCTTATAAGTTAGATTTCAAAGAATGACAGAAGTTGTAACATCGATTAACAATAAATTTTAAAAACGACAACGAAAATAAACAAATTTTGTTCTGGTGTTTGTGAAGACAATTCTAACCATTCTCTAAATACGGCTACAACGCCAAATGTTTAATTTGGAGGTAGCAAATGAATTTCCCAGTTTACGCTCCGGTGAGTCCTTATTTGTTAAGGCGAGGCAAATGTAACTCTAAATATTGTTTAATGTTGACAATTCTGATTCTTCTAAATCTACTTTATTATATACATATATTCACAGACACAAACTAAAGCTATATATACATAGCCGAATTATCAATTAAAATTCTATTGTGTGTGTTTTTTTATACAACTTAAAATGGCAAACAAGCTAACGGCCCACCTGATGGAAAGTGGTAACCGTCGCCTATATATATAAGCAGTACCATGGACATAACAGAGTATACTGTTTCGCCCATGATATCCCCCATACGTTTCCATTCCTGAGCACTTAGGTGTTATTCCTCTCTACCCTATAAATTCACTGCCATATCCCATCCTTCAAACCGAAACACAGTCATGCAAACACAACTGCTTCACGGTTGAAACACGAATGGGACAGAGGTACCCAAGCAATCGACTTTTGTACAAAGTCTCCCTCTGGTAAGTCTAGTCTCCCCCTGTGTTGCTAAGTATCTGTGAAACTTAAAAAACTTTCGTATATTCTATAAGAAATACTTTTCTCATTAACAAAATCTACGACTACATTGTGAGATTTATCATAACTTTTGGACCGTATTAAACATACTCGAACTGTATCTACGTCCGGGCGCAAAAGTTAGCACAGCTCCAAAATTTTAATCACCTTTATATTAACTATGTTCAAACTAACAAGGTAAAGCTTATTAAAACAAAAAGCAAATAAATAATATTTTCATTTAGGCTATATTAGATTTTTTGTGTAAGTCATATTTTTTAAAGGTTCCTTAAGGTACCGAGAAGTAAACGATCAACTTGCATGTCCTAGAATCCTGTATTCAGATGCTTTTTATATAATTTAGCGGTAGATTCTTATCAAAGATATTTCATTTCACGTGGAAATAAATACAATAAAATTTAAATAGCAATTCTACTGCCTAAATGTCCGGCGACCCTGATATAAATACAAGTTTATCTGATAAAAAAGATGTGGGTTCGTCGGACGGTACTCACCATCGACCCTTTTATCAGCAACGGATGTCGACATTTACATTATTTTACCTTTTTACATACAAATAACTTTTTTTATATCACCACTAAACAAAGTTTTTCAATTCTATATATTTCTACAGTATACTTAACCTCTTTAGATATATAGTAGCTCTTTATTAGATTTATAGTTAATTAAACTTTAACCTTGCGAGGACTAAGGTTAATTAAGTTTCTTGTTTCCGGAAGAGTCAAATATATAAATAATTCATATAATCACTTATAAAACATTAATATTTATCTGAAGTAATGAAAAAATAACAATGTAATTTTTTTTTATTTACACCAAATTTTTTTGTGTACATTAATAATGTATTTAAAATCATGTTAATCGTGTTCAATGATTTAATGTCCAGTCCAATATATATGAGTATATATTTTGAATGGATATTAATGGAGTAGTAAGCCCGCCTGTGCTTACGGTATACGCGGGCGGGACACCAGTGAGGGATGATAGGTGAAACTGAAAATGCACGTCGTGCTGAATACATCTGGAATTGAGCAAGGTGGTTTCCAGGAGGGACCAGGCGGAGGTCGACCTGACAAGATATATTGCTATCAACTTGTCTGATAGTCTACATTACTAACAATAAAGTCCAATATGTTTTTTTAATTGGTGATAAATAAAATGTAACCCCGCCCACGCTATCGTCGTGGGTAACGATGAAAGCAGGTCAGTTTGCCTATCGTGACGAATTGCACTAGAATTAACCACGTTGGTTTCCAGGGGGAACCGTGAGAGGTCGACCTGATAGGGTGTATTGCTAGCAATGGGTCAGTTCAACCCCATTGCTAACAATTCCTTTCCCTCCAGTCCAATATGTTAGGTACATACTCGTACATGTTCATTACCTACACGTTCAATCGAACAAGGTCGAAGTTCCATGTCGTCAATGTCTCGCCTGAATTTATATCGAAGAATGTAATAAAATGGAGCGTTTTAACTGAAGGTGTATTCACATAAAACGAACGATTCACCGAAATATCAACATTAAATGTAGTACTAAAATTCAATATATCTAACTCATTCAAATAGCTCGGCAAATTCAGTGGCAATTTTCATCAATCTAATATTAACCCACCATAACCGTAAAAAGTGGAGGTGCCGACGAAAATAGTAAATTTTGCGGTAATCTAAGGTCGATCCCATATAATTCTATATGAGCTCGTAATTTTCAATATTACCGACTATTACAATGATGCTGAATTAGATGATATTACCTACTTCATTAAGTCGTATAAAACAGAATAGGTAGACATTAAGTATTTTGGTAATGTGTGTAATTAACTTTTATATCATCGTAATACAAAATCATGATTATATAAAAGATAGTTTTATACAACACTAAACAATTGTTTATATAATTACTAGCTTTTACCCACGACTTCGTCTGCGTAATCAGTTTGTTTACTGACTGGGATAAAAAGTAGCAAATATCTTTCTCCATCCCATATTGTATGTGTATACCAAATTTCAT